TATATACTTATATATATATACATATATATACTTATATATATCGCTCGAGTGCACGTAATCGTCGAGAGTGCGTGGTTTTCGACCAAGTGCACGTAGTACAAGCCGCAGATGTTTGTGTGGCAAAGATATGGTGTTTGTTGTAAAGCTCTTTTATCTTGGTAGGCTGTTCGGATAGATCTGTTTGTCTGTGAATGTCACGTTACTATGAGGTATGGGCATGCAAGCTTGGTTGCCATGGTTACCAACAGCCTATCTTTGTACCACGACTATGCTCAGAACGACGTTGCTCCTTCCGCACATTCGCTGTTCTTTGATGTCATACTCGAAGTATCTTGTAAAGACATGGGTGTGTTAACGTACATACACAGGTGTGTTATTGTACGTATATAGGTCTGTTATTGTACGTATATAGGTCTGATATTCTACATACATAGGTCTTTTCTTTTTGCATACTTAGGTGTGTTATTGTAATACATAGGTGTGTTATTGTATATACATAGGTGTGTTATTGCACTTACATAGGTCTATTTTTTTATATACTTATGTGTGTTAATGTACATACGTATATATATGTGTTATTGTACTTACATAGGTGTGTTATTGTACTTACAAAGGTCTATCTTTTTACGTACTTATGTGTGTTAATGTACATACGTATATATGTGTGTTATTGTACTTACATAGGTGTGTTCCTGTACATACATAGGCGTACTGCTGTTCACACCCGGATATATTGTCACCTTCCCTATACACCCACACGCCCATTTCTCTGCCTTTCCTCCTATGCCCCTCATTTCTCTTCTTTCCCATCGCAGGACCGTGTCTCTCAAGAGATGCTCAGTGTGTACGATCGCCACCAATGGCTGCGGCTGGTTGAAAGCTACACGCTGGTACAACCAGGCGACACCCTGCGAGCAAGCAGACCCATAGGCAACATGGCCAAAGACTCGCGTGCGTTCAGATACGGCGTGTACTGTGGGTATGCGCACGTGGTGTGTGTGGTGGAGGAGAAGAAAGGTTACTACATCCGTGAGATAGGCTTGGCGGAGTTTATGAACGGCAGCACTGTGTCTGTGAAGACGCTGCAGGTGTGTGACTGAGTGCAGCGTTCAACGGATTGCCTGTGGTGTGTTCTGGGTCACGTAAACGCGCAGTTGAACGTTTTAACGTGTATTGTTTGGGGGGGTAGTTGGACGCAATCCTGTCGGGTTGATCACGTGCTTGCGCAGGCGTACCTGTTTGTTATCACGAATGTCAATAGAAATAAGAAATATCTGAACAAGTGTAGGTATAAAATAGAAATAAGGAATATCAAACAAGTGTAGGTATGAAATAGAAATAAGAAATATTAAACAAGTGTAGGTATGAAGTAGAAATAAGAAATATCTAAACAGGTGTAGGTATGAAATAGGAATTACCACATACCACTCCAGGGTCCAATGGCCAGCACCTGTGCTTCGTATATGTACACACATACACACACATGCCATCTCGGTCTCTCCAGAGGTCTATTACTTATTGATACACACATACACCCACATCTCATCTCTGTCTCTCCAGAGGATTATTACTTAATTATACACACATACACACACATCCCATCTCTGCTCTCCAGAGGGTTATCACTTATTGATACACACATACACACACATCTCATCTCTTCCTCTCCAGAGGTCTATTACTTATTGAAACACACATACACACACATCTCATCTCTGCTCTCCATAGAGATGGGTCGTTTTGTCGTTCTCATGACACTCTAATGTATGTTGCAGTTTTGTGCCAACGCAACGCATGGCATCGCAAGTGGACTGTGTGTTGTTATATGTCACATGCGAACACGGCTATCCCTGCTTCAGAGATTACACATGCTTGCTTAGATGGTCTCATTAACACATGCACACACTTCTGTAGATAGTTGACTAAGCTTGCTTAGATGGTCTTATTAACACATGCGCACATTTCTGTAGATAGTTGACTACGCTTGCTTAGATGGTCTCATTAACACATGCACACACTTCTGTAGATAGTTGACTACGCTTGCTTAGATGGTCTCATTAACACATGCACACATTTCTGTAGATAGTTGACTACGCTTGCTTAGATGGTCTTATTAACACATGCACACATTTCTGTAGATAGTTGACTACGCTTGCTTAGATGGTCTCATTAACACATGCACACACTTCTGTAGATAGTTGACTATGCCACGGGGAGTGTGTTTGCGCCTCTTGACAGCATCCGATTGGCCAGGGCGAGAGTGGGGGAGAAGTATCCGTACAGTGTCATCAGCGGCAACACAGACAGGACCTTCTGCAGAGTGTGCGCAGTATGTGCCTCGACTATACGCTTGTTATAAGACCATGTGTGTTCACTTGTTATAAGGCCATGTGTGTTCACTTGTTATAAGGCCATGTGTGTTCACTTGTTATAAGGCCATGTGTGTTCACTTGTTATAAGGCCATGTGTGTTCACTTGTTATAAGGCCATGTGTGTTCACTTGTTATAAGGCCATGTGTACTCACTTGTTATAAGGCCGTGTGTGTTCACTGGTTATAAGGCCATGTGTGTTCACTGGTTATAAGGCCATGTGTGTTCACTTGTTAAAAGGCCATGTGTGTTCACTTGTTAAAAGGCCATGTGTGTTCACTTGTTATAAGGCCATGTGTGTTTACTTGTTATAGGGCTATGCATGTTTACTTGTTATAAGGATATGCGTGTTTAATTTTTATATTGTGAAATGTGTTTACTTTATCCAGTGACCATGCTTTTGAATTCAAACGTGTGGTGATACCAGCGACAACTGCTGACTGTTCTATTTGTTTGCTGTCGTTTGTTATTAGTCCTATTCTGTGGCCCTGCATAGCATAGTGTTGAGTCTGTGCTGTTGTAATATAAGACAACTGCTGACTGTCCTATTGTTTGCTGTGGTTTGTTATTAGTCCTATTCTGTGGTCCTGCATAGCATAGTGTTAGTCTGTGCTGCAGTATCGTCAGTTTATTTTTTATTTTTTGTTAACTAATATGTTCGTCATAGGGTTTAGGGTTTTAGCTGAAACCAGCGGCTCTGTACTACTTCTTACATGATGTTCGGCATAGTACCACTTTATGCGCCCGTTATCAATCGACCATTGTTCCTTGAGCCATTATTTCTGGAAACTCTAAAACCCTAAACCCCTAAAACCCCACACACCAAACCCTAAACCCTAATACAGACCGGCTTCACACAAGCTCTGCAGTTAGAGGCTGGCTTGCCTATTGCCGCAGGCACTGTTGCGTTGGCCGGAGGTGCTGCAGGTAGGTGCGTGTGCAACAAACGTAGCCACTGCGATGTTTATTTATGTATGTTATATGCAAGTGTATATACATATCCATCACTGTGATGTTTATTTATGTATGTTATATGCAAGTATATTCACGTAGCCACTGCGATGTTTATTTAGGTATGTATTGCAAGTGTATATTGATGTTTATTTAAGTATCTTATATGCAAGTATATTCACGTAGCCACTGCGATGTTTATTTGTGTATGTATATGGAAGTGTATATACATATCCATCACTCTGTGATGTTTATTTATGTATGTTATATGCAAGTATATATACGATGTTTATTTATGTATGTTATATGCAATTGTATATACATATCCATCACTATGTGCATATGTCATGTCATTTGTGCATATGTATCATATGTAGGTATGTGTGTATATATATCACTATATCATATGCAAGTATGTGTGTACATATATCACTATATCATATGTAAGTATGTGTTCATATATATGACATGTAGTTATATCCACCTATCCATCATGTGTACGTATATCTACCTATCCATATGTAATCATAAGCGCATGTTTGCAGCGTGTATACACCTAGTCATCTGACCTTCTACATGCCATTGTAGCGTGTTGTTGTTCTTTGATGTGTGTCTCGTGTAGTTATCTCCAATTGACCTTCTCCTTGTACACGAAATTGTAGCGTGCTGTTCTTCTTCTTTAATGTACTCATGTGTGTCTTTCCTAATCCATCGCTGCAGGCGCGTCCATAGGCGCCACAATGGGGACTGCGGGTATGAGCATGGGATGGGTCATGGCTGCAGGGGCTGCCTCTGGTAGGTGTATGAGTTGACCTACCAACGCATATTAAACACACACAGCTGAGCAACCATATTACTCACACACACCCTAGCAACGCATATTAAACACACATACCCTAACAACGCATATTAAACACACACACCCCAGCAACGCTTACTAGACAGACACACCCTAGCAACGCATATTAAGCAGACACAACCTAGCAACTTATACTACACATACATACGCATTTGCACTATACTTGTGTGTATGTTCAGTGCTTAGTGTTGGCCAGGGTCTGTGTCGTACATGCAATTGTATTGAATGCAGCACACCCGGGTGCAGTGGATAGTCGGGAGGGTGTGGTTGTGGTAGTTGATAGGGGGTGGTTGTGGTAGTTGATGTTGATGTTGCGGTTGTTGTTGTTTTGTGGTGGTCGTCTGTGCGTTAGTCTGTCTCTCTCAGCTGTTCTTTGGTATCCGCCTGATCAGTGTGTTTTTAGTACAGCCTGTTTGTCGACGTTTAAAGAGGCTCGTGGAGATGCACACACCCACTGAATAGTCCTTTGCTATGGGGCGTATAGCCATGTGGCGAAATCACGGATGTAGTGTGCGGGGTGTATAGTCATGTTTTAGGGTTTGGAGTGTAGGGTGTATAGTTATGCTTTAAGGTTTTAGGGTTTAGAGTGTAGTGTAGGCACGGATGTAAAGTGCGGTGTGTATAGTCATGTTTTAGGGTCTAAAGTGTAGAGTGTATAGTCATATTTGAAGGTTTTAGGGTTTAGAGTGTAGTGTAGGCACGGATGTCGTGTGCGGGGTGTATAACCATGTTTTAGGGTTTAGAGTGTAGGTTGTATAGTCATGTTTAAGGGTTTTGGGGGTTAGAGTGTAGTTTAGGCACGGATGTAGTGTTGGGGGTGTGAGTCGCATAGCCACAGTGTGGTCATGGGTGAAGCAAGAACACAAGGAACAAACACATGCGATGTGTGTGATAATACCCTTTTGCCTCCGCTCCAGTCAGTGGTGTTCCGGTGCCGCTATGCGCTTTGCTGCATTGGTTTGTATATGGTCGCCCGAAAATACCGAAAATTCGAACACCGCATAGCCATGTGCTCCTTGTGAGTGGCAGATGTGACTCAGCTGTAGTCTAGTACTCACAAGTTATGACTCACCCCTACAACTCTCACACACTGTCTGTCCATGCGCCTCGTCTCCGTGCAGAGTCACTCGCGATCTACTCCTTACTCCTGCGGTCTACTCCTTATTCCTGTGATCTACTCCTTACTCCGCAGGTGTGTTCGCGGGGGTTGTGATTGCCGTTGGGGCTGCGGCGGTGGTGACGAGTGTGGCAGTGCGACATCACAAGGTCATGCAGGCCGAAAGAGAGTACCGATTCAGTGTGTGTGTAATCAACGAACGCACAGACACAGCCACAGACACAGCCACAGCCACAGACACGGCCACAATCACAGACATAGACAAAGCCACAGACACAGCCACAGACAAAGCCACAGGCACGGACACAGACACAGCCACCGCCACAGACAAAGACACAGACAAAGACACAACGCAGACAGGTGTAGAGACTCATACGATACACACGGATGAACTCACAGATACTTTACCTACCATTCAACAGACGAACGAAGATACAGATAATTTACCTACAAATCAACAGACGAATGGAAATACAGATATATCACCTACAGGTCAACAGACGAATGAAAATACAGATACTTTACCTACAGGTCAACAGACGAATGAATATTCAGATACTTTACCTACAAATCAACAAGCGGAGACAGATACAACACCCGTACACGATCAGGGCGCACACACAACGTCAACCAAGACCAACACAGACAATAGCAGCACACACACGAGCACAGAGGTAGCAGAAAATAGTGCCAAGAGACGGCAAGAGGAAGAGGATGTCACAGGAAGCACCACGAGTGCTAAGCGTAAGTGGGATGCTTATTCAATGTTATCTCAACTATTACAGGGTGGTTTCTCCCGTTCGTGCAATGACGCTTAACTATATATATATATATATATGTGTGTGTGTGTGTGTGTGTGTGTGTGTGTGTGTATTTGTATTTGTATGCAGTGTTTGTGTGTATTTTCAGTATGAATCTCATTCCCACTCTCGGCATCGGTGCTACCGCCAATTTACCGGTGTGTACCGCAACGTGCTTTGTCAATTAGAGTATTTCTATATATGCAATCCCAAAGTGTTATTTCCTTTTTTAATCTCTATATTGAAGGGTCTCTGGTTTTAGAGTTTAGGGTTGTTTGATACCCTGTTTCTATGTACTTTTTTTCGTATCAGCTCCGTCGTCTTTGAATCGGTTTAGTTACGAACAAACACACCCGATGACATAACAGACATTAGTGCGCTCGATCAGACTACAGATACGTTCACTGCACGCGATTTACCTACCAATCCACGCGATCTACCCACCAATCATTGCGATTTACCTACCAATCCATGCGATTTACCTACCTCCATGCGTTTTACCTACCCAGCCACGCGGTATACCTACCAATCCGTGCGATTTTCCTACCAATGTTTGACCGTACTGATAATACGCATATGTCCGTATACCTGTGTGTGTGTATGTGTTGCAGAAGATAAGGGTTTGGTGTCAACGGACAACGGACTGACTGAGACCAGGCGATTGGTTAACGAGATGGCTGAGGGCATGCCAACCATAGTCGCTTTCCGCATAGGTAGTATTTTATTACATCATATTATGTATGTAGTATGTTTTTTAATATATGTAGTATATGTTATATGATATGTATAGTAGATGTGATATGATGTATATATATCATTGGTTATATGATATGTGTGGTAAATGTTATATGATGTATGTAGTATATGTTATGTGATATATGTAGTATGTTGTTTGATATATATGTTATATGATATATATAACATATATTATATGATATATGTAGTATGATAAATATAATATATGTTATATGATATATATAATATCTGTTGTATGATGTATGTAGTATGTGTTATATTATATATATATAATATATGTTGTATGATATAGGTAGTATATGTTATATGATAAATGTAGTATAAGTTATATGATATATGTATTATATGTTATATGATATGTGAAGTATATGTTATACGATATATATAGTATACACGTGTTTACATATCTATATATTAGATATATTCTATATACAAATGTGTCCCTGTGATATAATTTTACGCGTGTTTGTACACACTCATATAAGAAAGAGTGTATCCATATAGGTTTGCGATTAGCCTCAACTATAGTAGGCATGTGGTCTCCGATACCGACAGCACAACTTCTTTCGTATGTCGCTGTTGTTGTGTTTGGTTGGTAATAAGTGGGGTGTGTTAGTTCAGTATCTGAGAATGGTCTGCATAGCTCACTTCTAAATAACACATCATGCTCACATTTGTGTGTCTGTGGTGTTTGCATGTCGCAGTTGTTGTGTTTGGTTGGTAGTAAGTGGGGCATGCTAGTTCAGTATTTTGAGAATGGTTTGTCTATCTCGCTTCTAAATAACACAACATGCTCACATATGTGTATGTCTGGTGTACAATCGTTCACGGAACAAATATCTCCACGCTTGTAGGTATGTGGGAATATGAACCAGTACAGGAATAGTTATAGCTTTACAGGAATCCATGAACGTGACTATAATATTTGGGTCATTGCATTACGTTATATTACTTGTTGGTATTTGGTTATAGACAAACATTTGATGGTGAATATATTCCGAATATCCACATGGATTATGTGAGGGCTTCGTGGGTACGCGATGTTCGGTACATGCTCCATATAGCTCAAACTAACACCAAAACGTAAATGCATTCGAATTAAATGAGTATCATACTTATGCTGTTCACAAATATGTAACGCATACCAAAACTTGCATTCAAATCTAAAGAGCATTTTTTTCTCTTCTGTTCACGAATATGTAACGTATTTCATATATTTTTTATTCAAATTAAATGAGCATCCTTTCTTTGTTGTTCACAAATGTGTAACTTATACCAAAACGTACATTCAAATTGAGTGAACATCTTTCCTCTGCTGTTCACTGATATGTAGTCTATCCCTTTGCCCATTGAATGCACTCGCGTTTGGTTATATACACCATACATGCGATACCTATGCACATCTCAGTTGTATGCTGAGGGTATCATAGTGTGGTGATATGTGCCATTTGTCTTTTACCTATGCCCATCTCAGTTGTATGCTGATGGTACCATTGCATTACATATCGTAAAACAGATGAGAAGGTCACTCCACCGGTCCTTTCGATTCATGACCTGGGCCTCTTACTAGGACTGAGTCGCAACGAACGGATTGGCATATACGACCGCCGGCAAGGTACTTTCCCAACTCTATGTATGGCGTTCCTGCAGTCACCTAAATCGTCATGTGAGTGACATGTGCTCTTGCTCTCTCTCTCTCTCTCTCTCTCTCTCTCCTCTCTGTATTAAGGTATGTAAGAGTCGTGCTCCGTTGTGTATCAATCAGTATACGTATTGGTGTGCAAAGCCGTTCATGAATACACCATCTCTTAAGTGGTGTTATTGCCGACACTCAATTATTTATTACCACCAGCGTCAGTTATATACTAGTATACCTCCTGCTGCCCAATGTATATATAGATCGCTGTAAGATGTTATGCTGATAGGCCCAGAGAAGCTGCGGTGTGGCCACGTGCACTTGTCCAAGTTGACCTTCTGAGCGCTCTCTTTGTGCCTATTTTTGCGATACAAATGGGTACCCCTTCTGAAATCATTCACATGATAATACAAGATAACAAGATAACCCTGATATGGTACTGTGACGATCTGGCTTAATACAAGATAACAAGATAACCCTATGACATGGTACTGTGACGATCTGGCTTAATACAAGATAACAAGATAACCCTATGACAGGGTACTGTGTGGATCTAGATTTCCTTGGCTCTCCACCGCATCTGTACCCTTCGCATCTCTCACCTACTGTTTGTATCCCTCACCCCATGTCGCATTGCCCTTATAATCAGATCGATACTTCGACCCTCTCCTGGAGACGACTATGTTGGTGAACGATTATGTGCCCAGGATATGCAGTCTAAAAATAGCACCGCGTGGATCGTTTGAGTTCGATGCGGTGGCGCTGGGCCTACACCCAGTACAGTAGACTGGCAAACATGAATTAGAATTTAGGACAATACTCAAACCAAGATGTGTTGGATTCAGGATAGCGGAGTATTAAACCACCGGCTCGAATCAATCACCATGCGTGTTGTTATTCGACTTTTATCATTTATTTGACATGCAAGGCCTCAGACTTGTACTCAGCCCAGCCGTCTCAACAAACGTTAAGAAAAGAATTGGACGCGGGAACATAGTGGCGTATATTTTTTGGTTTAGAAAAACGAACGCAATACCATTATGTGTCCACCAGTGGAGCACTTCCCACTCACGATTCAATTAAGCCGGACTGGCTGATGTTCAGCACAATGTGAATAGTGTGTACCAGCACGAAGTCGGTATAGAGACATATCTGAGGTATACTACTGTGTTGATTCACTGCAAACCTGACATTCACCAAACCTAACATTCACAGACTATTATTCAGTGTACAATGGGAATTATATTTGCTTTTGTGCACGTTCCCGGTATGGACCAGGCAACGAATAATTACAAATCGATATATCCCTTGACGCGGGTATTCAATTTTAGTGTGCGTGTGTATGCTAAATGGTCTCACGCGTGCGATAGCTTGTCTCCAAACCACGTCCACTCCTTTCGAATCCACCTTCCTGCTGGGGTAAAAAAAAAATTGCGCATAGTATTTTTTTCAGTTTGAGATATAATATGCCGGTATCATATGACACCGCGGGGATCACCGAAATTGTCTTCAAATTCGTTCACAGCCACGTTGATAACTCAGACATCACGTCCAAAAGCGACATATCCGTCGGGTGATAGTTCTGTCGTGGCCTTGTGTGCTACAGACTGGTTGTTTACAGATCTTCACATTGTCCATTACCTTCTATCGGATCAATGGTATATTTTAACAAGCAAAATAGTATGCAGCTATGTTTTTTGTTTGTACATAGCGTGTTGAGGATACACATGTCGTTTCCTGATTTCAAGCTTCCTCACTCGTTCGGAATTAGCAAATGTATGAGCTCTGCCTTGACTTTTGCCTAAGCACAGCGGATTACTGAGCATGATTCAGTGCGATTTTCGTGATCTTTGCATCGGAAATCCGTTTTCACACCGTCACATGAGGAGTCATCAGCATCATCATCATTGCCATAACCATCGTCTTTTTCGTTTTGTGTTGTGCTGCTGTCACGATCCTTATAATCGCCTTTCATCTATTCGCCATCACATTCTGCCCCCTCCTTCGTAGTATTTATAGATAGCAAGCTGTTGAAAGTATTAATAGTCGTCGTGTTTATAAGAAGCAAGCCGTTGAAGGTATTAATAGAACTGCTCGACGCTCCTGTCGCGATCCTTGCGATCGCCTTTCATCTTCTCGCCATTGCAATCAGCCTCTCTTCATAGTACTTGCGACACATTGCGATGAACTGCCGCTAGTGGATGAAAAGCTTAACAAGATCCCAAATAGCTAGTTCCACCTAATCGGCAGTGGACACACACTTGCAGCCTCATCAGTAATCTGACAGAGAAACTAAAATTAGTAAAGCGACACTTATTGTTTGGCCCTCCTTACATTTTACCATTTTTGGAAACCTTGAAGTTCTTGGAGCTGAATCCTCAGTCCTACCAGACTGCTGGTTTATACCTAAATTCCACGCCCATCTTAACGAAAACCCGGATTTTTATTAAGCTGAGTCCTCATGATCAGCTTTACCAGGGTGCTGGATTATAGAATTACACGCCTGTCTTGGGACAATATGGAGCAATCGCTTTTAAAAGATGTTGCGCTAAACTACTCCTGTTTACAGAGGGGGTGGAGGCGTGGAGCTCTGGAGAATCAAATATTTACAAACTCGATTCTTAGAATGACCTCAGCACAAGTATATCACCCGTACAAATTTTAAATTGTGTTTGGTTCGAGACCCGATTCTGAAAACAAATGGAAATATTGGCCGCTCACCATATAAAAGGCACTTCCAGTCCGATATTTAGTTTTTTGAGGCCAGAAATCGACATGCCGGGTCATTTACAAGATCCATCCAAGTCACCCATAGTCCATGTGTCAGAAAGTTTAAAGTTATTGTTCCCTCATGTCTGAAAAAGAATTTGAATGTTGGTGACAGTCACAAGCAGTATTGATCACGTTCGTATACATATAAAGCTTTTGAAGTATTAAATATGCCACAAGGGAAGACTAAGCATCTGAGTGGCGGTAGGGACAAGAGGCACTCTCTGTATGGTCAAGGTAATCAGTTTATACCTGTCACACAGGCAGAAGCTTATGTCCCTGATGCAGAGGAAAATGCATCAAGTGATAGTGATAATAATCTGAACGACGACGATATCGGAGGTGAGGATAACGCCAGCTAAGGAGTGTAACCAGATGCCAAAGGGTATGAGTATAACGAAAAGACTTCCAGAGATGTATGTCGGAGCAGCAAAAAGAACAGAGGCGTAATAAATTAGTATATGTCCGAAACATTTGGGCAAGGCCGAGTACAACAATGGCCGCCTCAGGTCACTTTATGGCCACTTCAAAAATGGCCGAATTTCACAAGGCAGTTTTGGCTCTCTTTTTTTAAACACGCCAAATCTACTTTTATTTTTATGTGGAACACCTTTGTTTTTTTGTTGGTTTTGTTTTTTGTTTTTATAAAAAGCAATAGAAATGTTTAGCGACCATAGTCAATTAGTCAGAGACTCCGAGTGGCCAGAGCTCAGACTCCAGAGGGTCACGTTAACATTCTCCTTGTCGTGGAACATTCCTGGTAAAAAAAAAATTGTATATATGGGATTTTGTAAAGTTGCTATTTATGTTGTTTTTATAATAAAAAACATAATGTTATAAATATGCATAATTTTTTGTTTTTTTTTAAATTACCAACAACAAATATAATGTATGATTCCATGTCTTACGCGTGGCGTTCTGACACTGACGCTGATCAGTGATCAGTGTGAACTGTGAAGTCTGTGAACTTGTTGAAGTTCAAGTGTCAAGTGTGACTGTGTCACTGTGATCCAGACTTCTAGTCGTAATACGTAAACACGCTTTCAAATCGATGCGTTAACGTAAAACGTACTATGTTTACACAAAATTTGAAACACGTACAAATTGTAGTCTGCAGTGTGAACTGTGACCTGTGAATCTGTGATCACTGATCAATATTCAACAGTGATCTCTGGTGACTGTACTCTGAAGTTGTCTAAATTATTGTTTTTTTATTAATTAAAAACTCAGAAGGCTTTGTAAAAACAGAAATAATGATCCTTCAATTATCCACACTCTACGAGTTCACAGTCAACACTCCAGCAGTCTCCACACTCACAGACCACAGTCCCTCACATTATGAATTTATGAGCTGGAAAATATGCAAAATAAAACTATTACTCAAAAACTGTAAAGTAAAATATATTCTCCTCATTAGGGCTTACTCTTACTATTTGTTTGATGGTTTTTTATAGGTTTGTTTTTTGATTGTTATTTTATGTTTCAATTTCAATTTTCAACTCTTCACTCTCTTCCTCTATTTTCTTCTCCTCTCTTCTGACTTCTCTCCTCTCTCTTGTTGTGTTGACAGTGTTCAAGTGTTGTGTGTGTTGTTGTGTGTGAGACTGGTGGCAGTGGTGAGCCGGTGGCATTATAACGAGTTAACGACTAACGCGTACATATTCTAATTCCTATTCAGTACAAGTCTGTCCAACCATAAAAACATCGACTCAACAGTCAACGCCCAATGTCGACTCAACACAAAGTGTTGGGCTGTAGCTATTACGCCTGTAATATTATTATAAAACAGTGTCTATACTGTCAAAAGCAATTCTGACTTGTGAGTTGTGACTTGTGACTTGTGACTTGTGACTGAGCAGTACTTATTTACATAAATACTTGTTGAGAATCAAGTATTGTGTGACCGTCGCTTTTTTTTTTCCTGAAATATTATTTTAAATATGTAGGTGCCCAAAGTGGACTCTCAATCTCCCATAAATACCACTTTAGTAGGGACTAGTACAGAGACCAGTTATCACCTATCACCATGACCAGACTTCACACAACATACTCATGGTCTCATGAAAACATCCAGATGCTGCTGTGGTTACCGGTTTTATCTCTTCGTGTGTGCTTACAATTTTATTTATAATTTAGAAGGCTATGAATTTTACATGTGTATACATAGGACTGTAGGAACAGTTAAAATATGACATTTATAACGTACCGTCCCAAATATAGCATTTTATTGTGTAACCCGATTTTATGACATATTTTATTGTATTCTGATTCGCGGATGCATATATATCCCATATCTGTACATTCTTTTGGCTTTCTGTATCAATCAATCAAGCGATCATAAAACACGTTTCGGGTCTCCTATAAATCATAAAACTCTTCTAGTTCCAGTTTTTGATCATTCTTAGATACGAACCAACTTTAGGAAGTGCGAAATAAGTTGGCCCTATTTATTGTGCTAACACTCTTTAATATCTGGCACTTGTTTTCAGTAGGAAATTGTGTTAGTGAACCCAGAATGAAACTCAACAATTCCGTGCTTATCGCGCTTTGTGCGGCCATGGCCATCTGCGCCCATGCAGACACTATCACTTGCGAGGAGAAAGCTTCGGTTACGTGTGAGTACTATAATAACATACAGTGCTGTGAGTACAGCGGTTGTGATGATATGGGCACCCCTAAGTGCACAGAAGATAATTGTTGCAGAGATAAGCCAATGCCCGATGAGTATTACTGTGAGGTCAAAGGGTACGATTGTGAATACAAGGAAAAACACTTAGAGTGTTGCGAGGATAAGAAAGCCTGTGACAAGGATGACATGGAAAAACCAGTCTGCTCCGAGGATTACTGCTGTGCAGATCACGAGGAAAATGAATATGATCTGACATGTGAATCTGCTGCCGATGTCGACCCCAGAAAGAGATGCAATAAAAATAAGCATGTGATAGATGATAAAGAATGCTGCAGGTACACAGGCAGATGCAGCGAAGGGTACGAGCAATCCAAATGCCTGCACTCCTTCTGTTGCGAAAAGGACGATAATGAGGACGAGAACACCTGCTTCGACATTTGGTAAGTCATGTGTACACCCAGCGGTACCAATGGTATACTTATTGGCCTGTATGGCAAAATATGACAATTGAAGATATGGTATTTTATCTTGGCACAAGTACACATGTAAAAATGTGCGCTTTAGAACATAGCTTTTCATCTGCAGGGCATAGGTTGCGAAAAGTGTCATACGTCAACTGTGGAATGATCTTGCTACTTCCGTGCCCGCTAACATACATCAAAACATTTGGTTTTTAGGGATTGCGAATACACAGATCCGGAGTACAAGTGCGGAGAAGATGATGATAAGTGTACCCTACAGGCCTGTTGCAAAGACACTGATCCCGACGGTAAATACAACGAGGTAAGTCTCGCAGTATGGCAGTCGGTTTTGCCATATCGGCTAGTAAACTGGAACAGCGAGGTGTCCATTCTGATTCACTTTGGATTTGCCTAAAGTAACATGTTGATTGTCGCTTATTACTTGCCTTGCTATCTGCAGTTCTGCGACATCGCACCTGAAGTTGAAAAAGGCAGTACCAAGGATTCATGCCCTGCTGGCGAGGTCATCGACGATGAGAAGCGTTGCTGCCGCTATTCCAACCGATGCTCTCATGATTGGAGCCAGAGGAAGTGTCTATATTCCAATTGCTGCATGAAGGTAGACATATCAATTAGTACATTTGATTGTTGATTCAGTCAAATGTTTAGATGAACTGTCTAGAACTCCGACCTGGACAATAGTCCCAAGCGTTTACATGAAGAATGCAGTGTAACTCATCTACTTCACACACTTTTATCCCAGGGTGAAGCTGGCGACGATGATGATGATGATGATGACTCGTCGTTCATCTCATGTGATCAATACTACAAAGATGGCGCTGAATGCAACGGCGAGAAGAAAGAGGGTAGATGCAAGGAACGCGCTGACAGCACCGAGTCATGCTTGACTGTGTGCTGCAGCGGTTGCCCCCCAATAACACTACAAGCCTGCAAGTACGGACGAGTTAAGGACAAGAATGGATGTGACACCAATGAATGCATGGATGCTCCCAGTGATGGATGCCCCCCTATAACACTACAAGCCTGTAAGTACGGACGAATTCAGGATAAGGACGGCTGCGACACCAGCGACTGCAAGGGTGAAAACGACAGAGTACGTTGATTGCAGAATGGGACATTACTACTCGTTTTTGAACAGTTTTTACCACGTTATCCAGCGCGCGATTTTTATTATTTGCAATCTCGAACATCACATTCAATTGATCTTCCTTGTTGTTGTTTTCCCCCCCCTTTTTTTTTTACAATTCTATAGACTTGCGCAGAAGAGGTTGAGTGCGACGAGTACAAGAACAAAGACTGCTGCCGAAACACGGACAGTTGCTCAGATGGCTATGCACAGAACAAGTGTTTGGAAAGTTATTGCTGTGCGTGAGTCATACTGGGCTTAACCTTCTAGATGCGCCTCGGCGAGATGTGTTCTCCGTCCGTTTGCGCCGTGGGAATAGTTCGTTCCAGACCACAGCGCTTTAGTGATCAGAATGACTATAGTGCGGAAAACAGCTAAGCTGCACCAGTGGAATCGAGCTTCTAATAAAGTTAATATTTGTCAATGTTATGTTTGAGTGGTTGTTAGATGACCGACTGGTCCTATTGAGAAGGTAAACCTGTGTCGAGTCTTGTACTGGTGAAATGAGTCTCGAGGGTTATGAACGTACATGTAGAGGGGATGTGTTCACGTGTACACGTTTATTTTGATTCAAGACATATTCTAGACATTCCCTAGCACATGCTTTGTTGCAAAAATTAAAAGGCTGTGTATGATAGAGAAAGGTGGAGTTGTGAAAGATTATTTAATCCAAATATCAACTACACGAATTCGAGCGACCAATTATATGTCCGCTGAACAGATTCAAAAAACACAACTGTTGTTCCGTGCAAAATTTGTGTATTTACCTATATGTGTGTAATTATGCAAATGCCACAATCGAAGTGTGGTTGCATTCCAAATCGTTGAGATACCTCGACGATAATACTTCCTAGCGCCGTGCAACGAAGTGATGTGCAATACAACGATAAGGTACACTGTATTCTGGTTTAAATCTAAGTTTAATTATTCTGTTTAAATCCAAGTTTAATTTTTCTGGTTTAAATCTAAGTTTAATTTCTATGCCTTTCAAAGCGCCAGGAGCCGCATCACCACGGTCGGCTAAAGAGTATCCCGGTATGCTTCACCCACCCATTAAATGCATCGTATAATGGTGCATGTCTGCTAAGCTATATGGGTGTACGTATGGTAGACAACATGGTGCTAAGTCTGTTCAGCTGTATGGGTACTATGTATATCTGTTGGGTGTGTGCTATACGCTGTATCCGTGTCTGGTTCGATACATTTGGTCAGGGGTGGTTCGCCACTGGTGTTGTGCGGCTGTGGTAGTAGCTGTGTAGTGTCTGTGGGTTGGTTGTATCTATGGCGTTTAAGTTCCGATGTGCTGAGAGGTGTTGTATGTTAATTGCAGCGGTTGTCTTCAACAGACAGCCTCAGGTGTCTGACCAATACGAACGGTTGATAGGCACTACACTGTCGTCAAGTGATACGACAGCACAAGCTGTGGCAGCACATCTGTAGGGTTTAGGGTTTTTAAGTTTTAGGGTTTTAGGGTGCCAAGGTTTAGGGCTTATAGGATTATTGTTGGGAATACAGCATTCAACGAAATGATAGTGCGTCGGTGGGTAGTATGTGCCAGGACGGTTGGTCACCAAGTATTGTCTAGCACAATGCAACAGTACAGCAGCAGGCTGCCACATGCATATCTGTGCATATCCGAAGGCATGGGTATGACATTGTGTGTGCGAGAGTGTGAGTGAGTGAGTGACGGGGAAGAAAGCTCCAGATCTATATTAGTATTAGTGATCCATGAAAAGACTCATTAGCGATCTATGACCACGCAGCTATGGTTCGAATACGTATATTCTGCACTTGAATACATGCTACTACCTTAAAATATAGATTAGGAGCATCTCAATACCTACACCCACACGAGCGCCAGCTGCCAGTCTCCGCCTAAATTCACATACTTAATGCTCGTGTACATAAAACCGACATGCTGAGTACTTCCTGCAATCATCAATGTCCGTGAATAAACGTACAAATAGGAGATCAGAGGGTGGCAACAGCCCGCCAGGATTCGCAACACCAAGTCGCGTACCTGATGCTATAACTTGGAGCGGATTGTTTGCATGGTTACAAAGGGATCTGTGGCATTACAGAAGGCCATAGCTGTCAAGGAACACACGTCCGACGTCGCACCGCTGTCACCACGATCCAGTACAACGCCATAGACCGGCAAATCTGAGACAAACACAACGTGTGAATATCTGAGATAGATACAAAGTTGAAAGTCCATTTCTTTATACTGGGAAATTAGGCACAGGCGCACGTGTACACGGCTACAGCCCATACATCTGACCGTGTTGCGGCCAAAGTGTGTGCAGGTTGTTTGTGTTGTGGTGTGTGCCATCGCTTCAAGATGTGCCGAAGTGAGAGGTAGTAACACATTCTGTCTAACCTATCACCACGGTGGTGTATGGTGGCCAGTAGACGCGTGTGTGCAGTTGAGACCTGATGTTATGAGGCTGTCAGGAGAGTCAGGAAAAGGTATCACGCATATATACCGAACAGACGGACTCTGTACCGATGCGTGTGTGGGATTGGAGATAGCTTGGCAATCACACAACAAGTCTAAAACGTTTGACTCACACACAAACTCCGAGGGATCTGATCTGGATAAGTGATGTGCGTGATGTACAGGTACACACAATCCGTAGCCCATGAGTATACGTGCATGCATGCATCAATACACCGTACACACAATCCGTAGCCTATGAGTATGCGTGCATGCATGCAT